GAGAAAGGAAAAAATGAAATCGCATCATATGACCCCTTTAACTTTAGGCTTTTAAAACTTTTTTCGAAACAAGAAAACAAGCCTTTTGTCAAGAGAGAGATATATATATATATTCTACAGTCACATTTGAATTTCATTTATATATATATATATACATCCTGTTTTATACATCCTGTTTGCTACCTGAATTCAAAATAGTTTCTGAATGGATAGATTGATGGATATATATATTCTTTCTGCACAACCCCATGCTTTCAGCTTTTTTGGGCATCAATGGTGATGTCACTCACCCTGATACCACATTCTCCTTTCTGTCTCCAGTGATGCATGAGTTCTTATTGGTCGCCTCCTTTTATCTCGACCAATCCGTGCAGGAGATCTCAGACGAGCGCTCAGATTTGTACTACACATTTTTAGCAGGGCTGTCGGACTCAATCCAGCGTAAACCAATTGAAGACTCTGTGGGAAAGTTCGATGAAAGCCGAATATCTGCGTATAATAATTTCTGAATGGATAGATCGATAGATAGATAGATAGATGGACGTGATGTAATGAAGTACTTATTCATTCATTCTTGTCATTTATTTTTCCACAGATCAGCAGCAAACTCATAAGGAGACTTTGAGAAACTCCGTGCTGAACTCAACTCTGCCCAATTCCCTTTTGGGAGGTCTGCCTGTGCGAGAGGTGATCCAGAAAGGCCACTACACGGCCCTCTCAGTGTGTGCGAATGAGGACGACCACACAAGGGTTAAGAAAGGAGATCGGGAAGCTTTAGAGGATGTCATATCTCGAGAGTTTTCTCCAGGATCTGAAGGCCGTAGGCTGGTTCTTTATGGTGGTGTTGGAATGGGTAAGACTACAGCGGTAGAAAAGGTCATTTGGGATTGGATGACAGGTGTGCGCCTGCAACATTACGCCCTCCTCATGCGAGTGCCGGTTTGGGAGCTGACCACTCTTGGAGAGAAAGCAGAGAGTTTGCAGAACATGTTGGGCTGCATACACACTCACATTTCCACAGAGACTCTCGCCGTCGCTCTACAGAGGCCTC